GCAAGCACACCATATTAAGCTGCAAATCTACTCGATTGTAGGCCCGTATGCACGTATATCCCCGCTGGGGAGGGATCTGAGAGGGGAATTGTCATATCTCGCTACTCTAGGTATCCTTTTTCTTATTTCTCTATTATGCTTATGAAAGTTCTCATACCCTTATACCTGCGCATAGGATGACAGGTTATTGCCATACAAGATTGGTGTGACCCCAGGGGATCACCTCTTAATTTCATAGTCACTTATTTTCCTAAAAACTCAATGAAAACGCTGTAAAATTGTACTCTGGATATATTATGGCATTGCTAAAGATGTTTACATGTAGAAATATGTGAAATCTCAGGATATCGAAATCTTCGATAATCCCTAATCGCGAGCCAGGGAATATCGAAAATTCATAATTTCCACATTTCATTTCTTCTGTAGAAAACATGGTTAGCAGGGCCTTAGTATATCCTGAGCACAATTTCGCAGCATTTTCATCGACTTCACAGGAAGATAAATGACTTTGAAAATGGGAGGTGATCCCCCGAGGGTCCCCGGAAGATCACACAAAATGCAAAAAACCTATCTTGTATGGCAGTAACCTGTCACTCATTATTCGCATGTATAGGTATATGAAAATCTTCATACGCAAGACATAGAAGGAAGAAGAAAGATACATAGAATGGCGAGATATGACGCATCCCCTCTCATTGTCAGATCCCCTCCCCTCCCCGCGGGGATGTACGTGCATACGGCCGTAAGGCATGGCGAGCGGGCCTTACATGCTAATTGATCTTTTAAAGAGCTGCTCAGAGCTAAGAACAACATTTTGGGTAGAAGCATTGATGAAGTGATATTTCGTACAAGTCAAGTCAGATATGGCAAAAAGCACTCAAAATCGGTCAAAAAGTCCTGAGCGTGACTGATACACATAGTCATAATAAATCTGATTGATTTCATAGCTCGCGCACTCTAGAGGTTTGCACTAGTCAGAACCGCTTAGTCTTACAAATAAACTTTGAGGAAAAGCAAAGTATCATTTGTTATGCGAAACAAACATACCTTCATTCGGTATGTATGACAGCCTTCGATAAATGCGTGGAAGATTGTATTTAAGACATCGAGTGGCAATGACGAGCAGTGTGGGAGAAGAGCAGTCACAAATAAAAGCGCCCCAATGCATTCATCCAATTCCTTTGTTACCTAAGGGAAACGTGATGAGCTGAGATTACAAGAAGCTCTTACTTACAAACGCACCACGATGTGTTGCAAGATAGCTTTGAATACTGGGTGAAGCGCTATCTTTGGTGTCCAGCTGGGAGCAGTCTGCACTATCTGTCCTTTAATTAATGTTGAGAAATTGCTGGTATGGAGAAAAGTTGACCGCATTACACACCTAGGAGATCCAACGTTGCCATGATTTTCTTTTCTTTTATAGTGTCAGACAGCGAATCCAAGAATGTCTGTAAAGAGATCTCACGTTGGATTCGAGAACAGGTAATAGTTTACCTTATCGTGTGGCTCCTTGATCTTCGACAACAGATCAAGAGCTCTATTGGAATGAGTTCTTCCATAGTAATGAACAAGCTGATAGATCCCATTACCTGAAAAATAACTAACTGCACGCTCAACAAGAAACAGCCTGATAATATCAGTCAAAAACAACAAGCAGATCTGGCACGTGAGAAGAGGACTTCCCTTTGTTCACTGGGAGTGACGGGTGGTGGATGAGGGTCTGGGCTCTGCATCTCTCTCGCGAGCGTGCCCTCTAACCACTTAAAGGCTTGATTGGCGATCGAAGCTTTACCTTTCACCCGTCACTGCCAGTTAAACAGAGGATATACCGTTTTTGCCCCCGAGAGGTTCTCATTAGGTATCATCAACGTGGCGCCCTTAGATCGTTTTAGCAAGTTAACTCCAGCAAATTCACGGCGCTAGTTGGTTGACATGTTGAAACGATCGAAAGGCAGCCACGTTGATGGTATAGACGATTCGTAGCACGCAAAGAATGCGGACTTGTCTGCGCCTCTTTTATCGAGCGCTTTTTCATTCTCCTACCATCTGCTCCCTCGCATGCACAAACTATCTCTTGGTCGGATGCAACGGCGCCCAGTCTTTGCATGTCGTGAATCGAATGTACATATAGAAACCACTCCTCGGCACAAATGATGATTACGTCATCGAGAAGGGAGGTCCCGGCTGGACTGCAACGGAAACGCACCTCTTGTGCGGTAAGGCTGGGTTCATATCAATTCGTAAGTTCCGGAACAGTTCCAGCACAGCGTGAAATTCAAGCGCTGTGCTGAAACTCTTCCGGAACTTAGGATCAGTATGAACCCAGGCTAAGCGATGCGTACTTGCTGCGGCAGTACGCTCGACCCTCGCTTCCGGCGACTCCTCTCTGGCACGGGGGTTTCCGCAAACTGATTTTGGAAGCCCACCAAGCACCCAAGCGGTAGTGTGTTACATCCACGACCGCGAGATTCATTTTCAAACCTGCTCCCGCTATCGCAGCTAGCTTGCATACTATTGCTACAGCCTTGTTGGTGGATCTTCCTGCAGAAGGCAAAGCAATACATGTGTAGTCTTCTAAATAGCTAATGAGGGTGGGTATAGGTATTCCTGCACGCGAAGACTGGGCGCCGATGAAGACAGTACATGTTTAGGAGGAGACAGCAGACGGCTAGAGGAGTAATAGTGCGTGTTTTTGGGAGACGTCGCCAAGATCCACACTGGTGATTTCTTGCGTGCGATAAATCGCCTATACCCAACAATGCCTGCAAGGAGGCGCAGAACCCTTGTGGGACCCCGGGTGTATGTCGTTAGGCGCGCGTCCAGATGGTCGCCGTTGCCAGAAGGGGTTCATACTCCACAAAAACAAGGTTTC